GCAGCAACACTCTAGCCAATAAAGGAATGAGATGGAGAGGAAGAGAGGGTTCTGCTCCAGGCTAGATTAAAAATGAATTAAAAAAAAGAATTTGACATTAATAATGATTAAGCCTGCTCTTCTATGAGCATCACATACATATTTAATTTCCAGGCTGGAAAACATGAGGTTTGGGGAGCATTTCTACTAACAGGCAGAGTTTCTTAAAGAGGAGATCCTGGCCATACTGTATGACTGTATGTTGCCTGAAGACTTAGCTGACTAGCATTACTTTGAACTTAGTTACCTCAGCCTATAGAAGTGGCAGCCCAAGACACATGTTTGGAAACAGAGGGGTTGACGTTGAAACATTAAGCAAAATTTGGAAGAAAGGTATTCTTTCTTGACTTTCCAAAATAATTGGAGAAGAACTTCTGTCTTAGTGAATTATAAAATAGAAAGACTTTATCTAAAGATACACAGTACATTAAAAAAGTTTGGATCTTTCTATAACCAACCTATTTATTCTACATACCCTACTTAAATTTTCTAACCTCTCATCAGAGGTGCTGCTCAGGTTTCCTTTAGGACAAGGACTGACAAAGTCAGTAAGTAATATGCTCAATCCTTGATGACAAGCTGTTCTTGCCTGCAAGAATTCTTCTGCACAAGTTCATCTGAGTTCTCCACGACACTGTGGTTTCACCTACAGGGATACTTTGGGACATTCTATGTAGTGGGTGGATGAGGGAGACTGCATACAGCAACACCCTCCTTTGGAGTTCTCCTCTTTCAGCTAGCATTCCATCACTGATCTCTTCTCAGTGACATCTACTCCCTTGTTTGGCACCGTCCAGTGACAACTAAATATAACAAGCTGACAATACAGAAAATAGGCAACATTACACCCTTTGCTTCCCTTTAGAAAATGTTTTAGCAACAAGGACCTTCACTGTTTACAGGCGCTTTCTCAACTGATTTCCACCACCCACCAGCCATCCTGTGAATTGTTCAACCCCAGTGTCCACCGAGTCCGGACCTAACCTGCAGGTTACATTGCAAGGAGGAAGTTTAGCAAAGAGCTGGTTCAGTGCACTGTAGATTATAGTGCAAAGAAGTATATTCCCTGTGTGTGTGTACTCATCACACAAAGCAGCAGATGCTGCGTAGCCAATTCTCTAACTGCCAGACCACTCATATGCCACAAACTAGTGTTGTCAATTATTCAATGCCGGTACCATCACAACATAAATTTGAAGTCTTCTCTAATGAATGAATATTCCTCCTTGTGCATAAATGGAAGAATAATACTGTATTATTGAAAACTCTTTTCTTAAAAAGAAAAAGAAGATGGCATCAAAATTCAATATTGACCATTCCAAGCTTTTACTCACTTAGAAAAACAAAACAAAACTTGACATAGTAGAAATTCAACAGGGCACCTAACAAATTTAAGGTCTAGTAGTTGATATCCAGTAGTGAGTCTCAACTAGAGTAGGCCAACGGAAATTACAGAAGAATTGATTCATCAAATCCAGACTGATTCAATGGGCTACTCTAACTGTGACCTACTACTGGTTTTCAGCCATAATGATAGTCTGTAAGAGCTTGGAAACAATACACTACCTATCCAAGTGTCAACCACACTTCCTGGAGCATCTTGAGAGTGTCATGTCACTCTGAAGCATGAGTGGCTATGGAAACAAAATGACCAGTCCTGTGTTGTGAACAGTGCAGCACCTTCGCTGTGAAATTGAAATCAGAGAAACCCCCCCAGATCACTCATATAGTTATGATAAATAGCAATCTTCTTCCCAAAGCAACAAGCAACATGACAATTAAAAAATTAATTTAAAAAAAAACCACCCACTAACAATAATGCCTTACTTCCTTGGGCTTTGCAATGAGTAGTGCAATAAATTGCTTCCACTTGTTTGTGTTAAATTTCCAAATGCAGTTGTTTACTAATCAAATGTTGCTGTGCTATATTACAGCCAAGATAGTTTTGTTTACATACGTCAATAATTAAAGAGACTGAAGAGCTCAGTGTCTTAGGAATCTGGCTGTAGAGCCAGAGGCTGGGAGTTCAGTTCCCCAAAGAACCAGCCTAAGTGGTCTAGGGCAAGCTGCACAGCCCCAGGCTGTCGCCAAAAGAATGGAATGGTTAAAAAAACTACTTCTGAGTATTCTCTACCTAGTGAACTCTGAAAAAGGTTGCTGTAAGTCAGAATTTACTTGAAAAGGCACAATTATTATTATTACAATTAAAGAAGCTTCAATAGCTGGGTTCCATTTAATAGAGCAAGAAACAATTCTGAGTAGTATACAAGCATTAATGGCCAAGATCCAACATGTCATTCTGCTTACAAGAACAGTTCCATCAGCAGACCTGGGAGCAGAGCAATTCACACATAAGCACCCAATGACCTACTATGCACTCTCAGGAACTGTGCTGGAGGGTTTGCAGAGACTGAGGGGGGAGCAGTGCAGAAGGTTGCAGAAGAGAGAAGATCAAATCCTTGATGTACTAAGTGCAACGGTAGATTCAGGCAAATAATTTGTAAACGGTATTCGGAAAAATTCAGTTTAAGAGCAACGTTTTTATCTGCAGTTCAACTATGCTACTTGAATGGTGTGAAGCGTCAACCAAGGGAAGCATGCTGCCACTGTAGACCTATCCCTAATCACAATTATAGTTTTGTGAAGGAAACTGCTAATGTCCATTTCAGTTCCTTTACCAACTGATCTACTACTGATATTCCTCTCTTCTTCTTCATCTAGCTGTAACCCACAAGCAAGTATCCTGTCACTCAACTGATCATACACTAGAAAATACGAACCCCATGTCCCTAATCCAAAAACACTGAAAAAGATGGTTTATTTACAGCACAGGGGTAGTTATCCTGCAGCAGCAAAGAGAGTGGGAAAGAATATGCCTGAGGGCTCTTGGACAACTGCCTTACCCAAATGAACTGTTAGTAACAAAGCAGATTTCAGAATCTAAGCTCACACCAGAACTGTCTATGTTTAATGGACAGCAGTTTGTAATTCTCCAAAATGTGTACCTTCGAGGTGTAGTCTTGGCCACTCGCAATCAACAGTGAGTTGAGCGAAAGGGAGCATAGAGCATATTGAAGCAGCTGCCAACTTCTGCCCCTGGTATTGTTTAAACTTTAAGCAGTTCCATGCCAATTTTCCAGTAGTAGAGATATATCTACATAATGGGAAACATCATGACTTGCCTACCTCTTTTTATACAAATTTTTGCATAAAGCACAATCCAAACACTTCTGAATAGTCTTTTCTAAGCTATACTGTCAAGAGATAAACAGTAGATTCCTGGTGTAACTCTGGGTCTATAAACACACCATTAAAATACACATTCATGGCCTCTACAGGTCTTGTCAACTAGTCAGTCAGAAGCTTCTAAGTCTTATGGACAGAAATAACCATGTTGGCTGGGAATAATGAGAGTTGTAGTCCACAATACACTGAGGACATCACATTGCAAAGACTACCTTAACATCAGTGTTCCCATACACTTTATCTTATTTCTTAGCAAGAACCTTTGTGCGTTTCCAGATGAGGAGCCATCTTAGTTTGTCAAACCAAAATAAAAGAAATAATTTTGTGCTCCTTAAACACTTCTACATTTATTTCACATAAGCCAGTGCCACACTGTATATCTAAGCCTTCAGAAGTGGCACAAAATCCAGTCTTTATATCACCCAGTTGAGATTTGGTCACAACATTTTGGCCACAGAATGGAAACATAACTCTTTTGGGCTGTAACTCCCAGATTCACCTTGGCTATAGTAGTTAGGGTAACTGTAATCCATCAAGTAATTTCCCAAGTTCTTCTTTTGTCAGAAAACAGAACAAATAACTGGATCAATTAGGATGGTCCTCTGACAGAAATGGAATTCAGTTTGATAGGCAATGGAATGTCTGACATTTTGTTCCCATATACGTCTTAATATCAAATCAACATTGCTTTTCTATGTGCAACTGACCCACAATCTCCCAAGACACAGGGCACAATTTGTGAACTTTCCCAAGTGTATTCAAAAACATGGAAGGAATAATTATCTCCATCATCATTATTTTGTGGAATCCACTATTCCAGGTGAATTTCTTAAACTTATGTGTTATACTGAGGACCCCTGTTAATTCTGGGGGAATTCGGGATTTCGTCAACCCTAGTGATGACCTTGGGCCAAGCACTGTGCCTCACCCTAACCTACCTCTCAAGGCTGTTGTGAGAACAAGGGAAGGAAGTGATTAATAATCTTCTCTGTCCTGAGCTCCTGGGAGGAAGGGTGGGATAAAAACAGTACTGTACAAGAAGTTCGAGCACACAACATAGAGCAGCCCACCAAAAAACAGCTTATCATTTTGCAGACCTGGTGACCCTGCCCTCTCTTCCCCAGAAGCTGAGGCAGCTCCAACAACCAAGTCTTGGGGCACCTTTAAGGAGGAACCACTTCTCTCTGTCATAAACTGGGGTGGGCTGCAGATGCAAAAGATAGCTCCGTTAAGCTGCCGCAGCAGCAGCAGCAGCAGGCGCGCCCGTGTCCCGGGAGGCACATAAAAGGCGAACAGACGAGCCAAGGCTGGCATCTGCTTGAGTAAGCGACACAGCCTCCTGCTCCTTCCTCCGGCTGAAAGTTCACGCGGGCACCTATTTCGCTGACAGCTCATGCTCACCCTTGGCAATAAAGGTTACGGTGCCAGCTCGGGATCTTTACCATATTCCGCCCTTGAGTCCTGCCCTGCCAATCAATGGAGGGCTGTGGGTTGAGCTCTGGGTCAAAACCCTGCCCCGCCTTCCTCCGACCCCGCGGATCTTCTCGCAGCCGGGCCGGCGCGGGGGGGGGGGGGGGGGAGGAGAAGCGGCGGCGACGCCAGGCGCTTCCTCAAACGCTTGCCATTAAAAGAAACGCACGCGCGGCCCCCCACCCACTCACCCACCCGCGCGCCCCGGCTTCTGCCTCCCTCTCGTCCTCCTCCTCCTCACTCACCTCCTGCAAAAGCTCGTCCACCTGAGGCTGCAGCACGGCCAGCAAAGGCTCGGCGCCCAGCTGCTCCCCGGGGCTCCACGCGCGGCCGGCCAACTCTTCCTCGAGGGCCACCAGCCGGCCCTGCAGCTTGGAGGTCTTGGCGCTGAGCAGGAAGCAGGCGCCCACCGAGAGGAGCGAGAAAAG